TGATTGGTAGCGACAAAACAAAACGATTACACTATTGTCATTTTTTATATATGATCTATTTCCATATTTAAATCATACAACTTTAATGAAGAACACCATGGATACAACGATAGAAAACACAAACAGCTCGCCTGAAGTTGAGGTAAGAATTATACAGTCGAACCCCCCTATAACACTGTTGATTATTCCGTTTTATATGAATTCCATGTTGTATGAGTCACTTAGATTTTACAAATACATGTGCCGGGCTGTGAACGGCTCACGTATTTGTAAAATCTAAGTGACTCATACAACATGGAATTCATATAAAACGGAATAATCAACAGTGTTATAGGGGGGTCGACTGTTATTTACATTTACATAACTGTTAACATTTAAAGTGTATTTCTACAGATTAAATATATATTCATTGTAATGAGTCTAAACGACGTATCACCAAGATTGTATTACTTTCCCGGTGTTATATAGACATAACACGGGAAAGTACTAAAATCAAGCAATGTTATGAGGTTTTAAGTTGTAATTAAGATTATAGAAGGTATTTTCTAAATAAGTTCTAATAATACCCGGAAAAGTTATGCAATTCGTTGCTGAATATTTTTGATAGGAAACGGCGAAAGAATTTCAAGACTTTACAGACCTTATCGGTACATTTGGAAGATGGCAGAAGATTTTATTAGGGGTAATCGCGTGGTCTGCCATTGTTATGGCATTAAACAATTTAAATTGGCCATTCTTGGCGTACAAAGTGGATTATTGGTGCATGAGAACACCGAAATACATTAACATGACTATGGAAGAGTGGAAAAATATCAGCGCACCTTTGGAGATCAGAAACGGGAGAACAACACATAGTCGATGCGAAGTATACGATATTTACGATACGAAATACGGAAAAAACTTTTCAAAGATTCCTTGTCGCTCGTGGGAATACGATCATTCACAATATAAAAACAGTGTCATTGAAAAGGTAACAATGAAAATTTTTCAATTATATATATATTCGATGATTGATTTTATTTGAAATTTTCAGTGGAATTTAGTTTGCGAAAGTTCTTGGTTGAGTTCTCTCGCTGGCTCTTCTTACTTCGTGGGATTCCTCGTGTCGGCTATTGTATCTGGTCAGATATCCGATAAGTATGTAAACTTGTCTTTAATTTCATTAAAATGTTTTAGTTTTAAAATACATATTAATTATATCAATATTTACGTAGATATGGCAGAAGACCAGTGATAATATCGGGAATCGCGCTTCATGTAACCTTTGGGATTCTTTGTACATTTTCTCCATATTACTGGATGTTTACTGTATGTCGTTTCTTCTTATCTGCAGGAAAAACAGCGTGTAATCTCACGTTTTACGTATATGGTAAGTCATAAATTTAATTCAAACAGTAAATCAAATAACAACGTACTTTGGCAATGTTCACATATAGACTACAATATAGACTAAATGACCTAAATGTTTACGTCGAAAACATAAAATCGTAGTGACGTACTTAGTGTATTTTAATCTATATATATATATATATATATGGACGTGTTTGTGCCTATACGTCACTCTGCAGCCAAAACTACACATCGTACATGAATGGTGTTTGCGTGTTGTAGTAGCCCCAAGTCTTCCATCGTGCACTAGGGTGGTCGCGTCTCGATAGCTATAAGGGTGTGAGAGATATGGGGTTTGAAAATGGTTGACTTCAAAAATGTGTAATGCTTCAATGAGAATATTCCAGTTTTTTCTAGAAAATTCCAGAACCCAGAAATGAAATTCGGTACACAGTTAGGGTACGTCATGAAAACGCACACTAAGAAGGGATTTTTTGAAATAAAACCCCCGGGGGCGAGGGAAAGCATTAATTAAATTCGAATTTGTTATTGCATATTGGTTTGATTATAGAATGATTGTAAACGTTCCAAAGAATTCATCAATTTAAAAAGTGTTCCTTTGATTCTCAGCAATTGTCATCATTCTCGGCGAGAGGTATTATACAACAATTACTATGGTTGTTGAAATACTGAATGTAAATAGGGTTTGCTTGCAAAATCCGCTCGAGCGAAGCCGCGGGTAACAGCTAGTGTGTTATAATTACAAATTTTGTAATTCGCCAGTTCTGTATTATTCTATTGTATGAATAAATTTACTTTTAACAATTTTAAGTTGTTCCAATTAGGAGAAGATAGAGAATGCTATTAATACACATGGATGCATTAAAGAATAGTTGAATTGTTTCTATCAATATACTTAACATAAAAATTCTCTGGCATCAATACGAGGAAATCTCATATTTTCGAACAAGTACGGTACGTAAAGTTAACTTTACAGGGTCTCGCTTAATATACTGTATTAAGTTCGTGTCATTCAACTGAAATACCTGTATTTAATGCAGATTGCCGTGAATTCAATACGCACTTACCATGGATAAGTCATAAGCAAATTTTCGTATGAACATTTGTATTTAATTTGAAATTTAACATACAAATGTTTTTTGTAAATATAACGTTAACAATACTAAATTATCTTTGTGTATAGTTATGGAAGTGGTCGGACCAAGCTACAGAGAAAAGGTAATAGTAACTGAGAGTTTCTTTTATACCACGGGGATGCTTCTACTTACCGGAGTATCTTGGTTCCTCAAAGATTGGACTTATATTCAATTATGCAGCAGTTTGCCATCCATTATAACGCTCCTGCTCATCAGGTAATGTTCATTTGATATTTTTATTGTTTTTATATGTTATGAAAATATGTTTTGGATTAGTTTTATACCGGAGTCTCCGAGATGGCTGCTAACTCACGGTCGATTACGTAAAGCCGAAGACGTTATACGAAACATAATGGAAAAGAATAAAAAACACACCGAGAACTTAACCGAAATTATTGAAGAACTTTATTGGAAAATTAGAACGGTAAACCGATTTTAATAATACATAGCTTGATCTTTCTATTAAAAGACGATGATTTGAAATAATAAAATAACGATTTCTTCAAAATATTTGTAAATAATCATTTGACTGAAGTGATTTGAAATGACTGTTGAATTTTAAAAATAAAATCAGTTTGCGTTTGGAAATGGAATGAGATATAACCAATGGCGGCGGGGGTTAAGGGGACAGCCTCAAGTTTCCTCAGAAAAAGAGGCTGACGTTGTAGGAACACAGGATGTAGGATAATCCAGGTTTTTTTCACAAATAACATCTGTCGAAAATGTGTTTCTAACAATATATTTTTTTTACTCCTGTTGTGATCGACCAACAATGTATTAGATTAATTAAACATGTTTTTTAGTGACTACGGATGAAAGAGTCAAAATGGGGTATAAATCTTATATAAACATTTCTAATATGTTTTTGTCTGCTGTACAAAATAATAAATATAAACCGCATCTAAAGGCTTTAATATATTTTTTCGGCTGTTTTTGTCAAATTAATCGCCTTATAAAGTTCAGCGTTATTGCAATATTTATGTCGTTTCACATTTTATGTTGATTCTCTTTTTATTAAGTTTTGACTAATTAACTAATTATTTAATTAATTTTTATGGTCCTTTATGAAAAACTAGTTACTTTTGTACGTTCCTTGTCAAACTAAAAGTTGCGATAGATTTGTTGTAATCTAATTTCATTGCAGATGTATCGGAGATTTAGTCCTTCCTATTTACACAATATAATAGTAATATGGATAAATAAATAAATAAAATCAGATCATCTTTATTGCAACGTCCTCAAGATCTTCCCGACCATCCCTGAAACACGCAAACCACTCGAAAGCACGAGAGCGGGATAGGACATCATTTCCATAAACATGATTGATGAGGGCATACGTCTCTGTTGCACTTTTACCCAACTTGTAACAAAACTTAATGTTCACTTTTTGTTCAATGACAAAAGCGTGACAGCACTTTCTCACAGCAATATCTGAATGCAGTACAGAAAAAGAACGCGTTACGAAACACGAACAAATCTTTGCAGACAAGTAGCCAGATTGTTGAACTATTATGATAAACTTAGACAAGTTGCTGCACACTGATACTGCAGCGCTACACGAACAGTCCTGTAATTAAATTGTCACACCTTGTAAATATATAATTAATATATATGAAAATCTTCTTTACTAGATACGATTTTTTCCATTGTATTTGATCTTACTCTTACAGAATGAAAATAAGAGGAAAATGAACTTTTTTGAATTGATCAGGAATAAAGAGTTACGCAAGATTACTTTCCTCATGTACATCTTATGGTAAGCACTTTTCATGAGTTTCGATATGTTCGCGTATGAAACAATTTTTCATTTATAAGAGATAATTCTGTGCTTTTTTTAAAATTTATACAAATAATAAATTGTATTATATCCCTCAAAATGAGATTATAAATCAAAACATGTATTAATATAACGGTCTTATCTTACAAAAATGAAGTGACATACCCAAACCGACTCCATTCTATTAACTTATTTTAATAAATTAAACACGCTACTGAATCTCTTCCACCACTTTCAGGTTAGTAATAATATTTGACACCTATGCATTATCATTAAATGCAGATATCACAGGAGGAAACATCTTTATTTTCTTTGTTTCATTTTCATTACAATATTGTGTTTCTGGTGTGTTGATCATTATTTTACCTCGCTTTGGAAGAAGACGTATTTTGATGTTTGGATGCCTTCTAGTGGGAATCACTTCGTTGCTGATAATAGCTGTTCCAGACGGTAAACATCAATATTGCTAATTATTAGTTTAGTTTTACTATTAAAACACAAGAAATTATAATTCGAAAAGTATATAATTTTGTTTTGAAACGTCTTAGCATTTATGATCTCATCACGATTCTGAATATTACGATCTTTTTAAAATAGATATTATATGGCTGAGGGTCGCCTTGCTAGTGTTGTGCAGATTTTGCGTAACGATTGAAATAACTGCAATATATGGATATACTTTAGAATTGTACCCGACTGTAGTTCGTAACGTGGGTATCGGATCGTGTTCTACATTTGCAAGAATCGGAGCGATCGCTGCACCATTTATGAAGGATCTTGTAGGACTTCACACTCGTCTTTAACATTGATTAACTTATTTATAATACTTTACAATATAATGTTATTGTATTTGTCACAGAGTGAAAAGGTGAACTAGAGCATTCCCTTTATTATAGTAGGTGTATTGACTCTTTCGTCTGGTTTGTGCATTTTGCCTTTACCCGAGACCAAAGATTTGCATGATACTTGTCAAGTAAGAAATTATTACGAAATTTTTTTAGAAAATAATTACATTTTATAATATTATTCTCACTTAATTGACTCAAGTAAGTTTTATAGAAATATATTTGAAATAATTTATACAAATATGAGAAAATGTGTTGTTAAATTTTTGCAGTAATACAGCAGAAAATGAAGAGGAATAAAAAAAAACATAAAAAAGAAGAATGAAATAAATGACTACTTCAAAATGAGAAAATCACTTAATGTTAAAAACATATAATTATTGCACGAAAAAAACATTATTTTACATGGAAAATTATTTGTTTATGGTGGGAATAAATAAATTAGTGTTATTTAAAGAATATATAATTTAGTGGCCAGTAGTATTACCAGGAAGGCCTTTGTATAGATTGGTTTTAAAATTGTTTTCACGTATGAAAAAAATGGTATTGCATTTATTATTTTAGAAAGAATAAAAACTAGAAAAGTAAAATATCTGTAGATGATTTTTTCAACCTTTTTAAAAAAATGTTTTTTAAAAATTATAAAATATATATAAAGAATTGCACCATAAATAAATAAATATATATATATTTGTTACTTATACAAGATATTTTAAGAAAACCGCAACTCAAAATCCGACTTAAAATACATAAAGCTGGTGATATATGAAGACCATTAGTAGATTTTAAATATACAATATTATCTAATTTAAAATTATTTAATAAGAATAAATTAAAATAAGTCCTCTATTATAATTATTCATTTAAAAACACCGATGAGGTATTAAGAAAATTGATGTAAGTAAAGATAAATTCAACATATAGGTTATTAAGTTTGGGCATAGTTTCTATGTACTCATCAGTAAAGTGGGAACTTATTAACGTAAACTTTAGTATTTTTTTTTATTTAAAAAATGGCCTTAAAACGAAGACTTCTCACATTAATTCTATGAATTATAGCTGAACTTGGTAATAAATAAATAAAAATGTTAATGGTTGAAGAGCGTTGTGGTAAGGAGAGGTGTGTTAAGTAGTTTTACTGTTAGGAGGAAGGTCGCGTGATCGTAAAGAAAAAATTAAAAGTTGATAGTGAGTAATATTATTGGTGAGGTTGAGCATGTTTCAACGTATTATCTTGGATACTAGGAATAAATATGAACAACCCCCTGTTGGATTTGATCGTGTTTCAACAAGCTAAATAAGTTCAGTATCTCGCTGGACATCTAATGCCACACTCAGTTTATATCCTGCATTCGAACGCTACTGTGCTTGTATTTTTATTTCTGGAATATGGCTCGCAGAGATTGTGTAATTTCTTCTGATAGCTTCTGTTATGTTTGTGATGAATACACAGTGAAAAGGCAACAAAGAAATATAAGTGAGTTTGTGAAGAAAGCTTATTTTGCGTAATTCAAACTGAAACTTGAAAATCAAAACAAAACAATGGGAGAAAAGGAAAAAGAAGCATGAGTAGTATAAAAAAGAGAGTTCTACCCCACAATTTTTAAGTCTAAAAAAATTCAGTGAATTTAATCAAATCAAAAGTATAATTCACTGAATTTAAACTGAAATTAGAAACCACTGAAAATCTCATTGATTCCTACTTTTATTCTTTTAAGTCATTAAATTTAATCAAACCTGTAAAATGTTACTCAAAAATAAAATATAAAAAAAAGTCAAACAAACTCAATAATATCTGCTTTATACTTATTCCAATAATCTCTTGTATACAAATTTAAAATTACACATCTTATCTAAATCTTCATTCTCTAATTTTTTATTAAATCGATCAGGAAGAAAAACTTGAAATTCATTCAATTCTCTGTCCCTAAGAACTACTAATTTTTTATAACCAAAGCGAATGGATATTGAATTGGATATTCATAATCAATTTCCAACTCGTTTAATTTCCTAATTGGAGTATTTTGAAATTTTTACTAATATTGTTTAGTTTTTTCAGTGTCTCCATTTATATAAGAAAAAATTTAACTACAGTAGAACCTCGATTATTCGCCCTAATTGGGGACTGGGGTTGGTCGGATAATTGAAAAGTCGGATAACCGAAAAGTATGAAAAAATCCATTATTAGTGTAGTATATTATTATATCCCATGTAATTAGTATATTAGTATATCGCTATTAACCTATTTTGCGTTGAATTTTCATCGATGTTAAGCCTAACAAAAATTTTTTAAAATAATAATCGTCGCTATTGTATCGTTAAAAATTAGAAAATTAAGCTTCGTTTAAATACTGGCTCCCTTTCATGGTCGAATGAGTGTTGCCAGCTAAAACACGTAAAAATAATATTAAAGTAGCCAAGACATAGCCAAATATTGTAGCGCCACATCACTAGCGGACATTTGAAATTTGCCGACTAGGACGGTCGGTTAACCGAGGGGTCAGTTGATCGAAGGGCGGATAATCGAGGTTCTACTGTAATATTGAAATAGCCTTATCTATCAATATGAAAAAATTTACCTTGTGGTGTACGTAAAAATCTACCATGAGGTGTATCAACATAATCAAAGTTATGTAAATGCCCCCTTCTATCCTTCCAAATATAATAAAACATTTTCTTCCCACCGTATTAACTCAGGTATTACGTTGGTATTAACTCAGTACGAGTTAATACCAACTCAAGATTACTAATATCAATTTCCATTTATATAGAAAAAAAATTAATCAGTATAATTTATAAATATTGGAATATTATATCCAATTGAATGATTAACGTTATAATCCTTGAGGTTCTCTTCATTATCTATAGTAGTTTTAATTGAAATTATATCTCTTACATTGAATGGAATAGTGTTTTTTTTTTTTATAACTTTGTGGGTTTCTCCTATCTCTAATTTAAAAGCGAATATTAATTTATCATTGATTAATATACCTGCAGATATTTTTAATGATTGGTTATTACCTGCTAAATAAATCTTACTAATTAATCCATCAGATTCTAACACGAATTTTTTATTATCTGAGAAAAAATAAAAATCATAAACTTTTAAAGTCCACTCATCTATATCAAAATTTTTACCATAATCTATAAAATCCCTTAGGATGAAAGAATTGAAAGAACTTGAAGCTAATAATCCATTTTCTGTTTTTTTAATTATATTATTCAGATTTTCATCTAGATATGATTTTGTAACTGCATCCGTGTCTTCAATTGGATTTTAAATTAGTTATTTTTTTATTTTTTGCATCAAACACATCCTCTTCTTTTATCGTTTTTTTTTTTACACTTTTTTCGCCCTGTGGGCACTAAGAGGGCCTCTTTTTGCAAGCCCATTATGAGTTCGGCCAGATCACAATGGGGCAGCCGGGTGGTGAGGGACGGGGCCCGACATATCCGAACAGACGGGTCCCCCAGAGCGGTAGGCTGCCACCTTGACTGCTCGGCCATCCGGCCGCTCTTTTATGGTTAAATCATTATTCTTTAAATATCTTTTATTCACAACATTTTTTGTCTTCTGTTGGATCATGCACATTACCAATTCTTTCGTTTCTTGCATTGAAAGCACCATTATATATTCTTAGACATCTACTATCTAATATCCGGAGTTTTTTACTCGTTTCTGTTGTGAAATTATCTATGCTTAAACTTATTTCTTTAATATTTTTTTCTGAATTAGTTTTATCTGTTATGTGATCTAATATTTTAAATTTATTATCATTTTCTTTAGCAAAAGCTTTATTTCATTGATTGTTTTAAATTTATTATCAACTAGCAGACCCCGCCACGCGTTGTTGTGGCTCAAAATGTATCTATTATAAATGTATAATACTTCTCCTGTGGGGGAAAATTTTTCGAAAAATTTTTTTTAGTGTACATTCTCTTGACGTACCCTATTAAAACGCAATCAAAAACGCAAAAACCCGCATCTAAAATAGTATAAATAAAAGCAGAGTTCTTTACGGTAAGCCTTAATTCTAACCATCTCCCTTCAGTGGGAGGAATTTCGACACGTATATTATATAAAAACACGTGTGTATTCGAATTGTGTCAAAATTTCAAAGGAATCGGTAGTAACAAGCGAACATTACATTTTTATTTATATAGATAGATAGAAATGATCCGCTTTAGTTCATTTTCACAGAAAAGCATAATGCCTCGCAGAAAAGCAAACTTAGGGCGTCGTACTCGTAGCGCCATCTGTTGGACGTAAAAGCCTTAACCTAGATTATATATTTTAATTTATATTAATGTTTAACGGAGTAATATACAGCCTATGTCCACCCTGACGTTTCATTCTAGATATTGGTGAAAGAATTTTTGAAATCGGATGAGTAATTTCGGAGATTACCTGCTGCAAACAAACTTACTTACATACATACTTACAAACATTACCTCTTTATAATATTAGTATAGATATATTCCTTGTTTGCAGCATCGTTTTCATCTATTGAATGTTCGCAATATTTTAAAATCTTATTTTGCATATCATAATTTCCATCATACGTTAGTTTGAAACCATTACCTGCAGGATCAGGAGCACCTTCTTTTACTTCATCATAATAAAGACCAAAAGGAAATCAGGCCATTTAATTACTTTTAAGTTTTAATGGTTTCAAAAGTCCTGTTGTACATATTCATAAATCCTTTTTTTTCGACTAAAACGAAACAAAATCTATACGGTTTAGCAGGTGTTTTTCTCAATTGCCAAAAGAATTCAACTTTCAAATTATCAACATTATTATAAGAGGGGTGATTGGATACATCGAAATGAATTATTGAATACACTCTTCCATAATTTGTATAACTTACTAAACAACCAGACTCTGTACTGTTAGTATTTAACCCCGCCGCTAAGAAATCAGAATAATATCTTGAATAATCTAATTCTCCCGGTTTAAAGCTAACATTATAATCTTCTGTTGGATATTTATCATTATTAATTCTTAACCAACATCTCATCATATCTAAGTTATCGAATATCATATTATTTTGATTCTGATCGTTTTCCTTTTCTTGATATTGTGGGATTACAAAAATATTTCTGATTTCATCTGTGATTGTATTTACAATTATTGTTCCACTAGAACCATTTTGAACGTTACTTTTAATTAATCTAACAGAACACCAATTAATTTCTATATCCGATGAGGGATTTAAAGATACACTATTAAAATTAACTTGTTCTGTATATAATTTAATATGTGGTTAGCAAAGAGAAATATTAAATATTATAACTTTATAATTCGGATTGCCAACATCGGTATAGATCATATCATTGAATTTCTCCAGAACAAAAATCTAACATCGATGTTTGATATTATTTTCCTGAAGTCGTTGAAAAATCCAAACATCTGCTTAATTGGTATCCACAGTTTGATCTTGTTACAGTTTTTACTTAATATCCATCTTTCTCTAAATCCTTCATTATAATTTGCATTTTTTTAAAATCTTTCTAGAAAGGTATTCATTTTTTTCTTTAGTTTCAAGAGATTGATCATCGGCTCCATCAAATATCAAAATTTGTTTATCTGGTGATTCTGAGGTGTCAATGAAAAACAGTATATTGGTTGCTTCGGAAGTAGAATAATCTTTTGTAAAGTTTATAAGACCGTTAATGTGATGGACTAAAGAGGGTAATTCAATTTCTCTAATTAGTGTCTTACCAATGTGTAGTTCAGATCTCGAAAATAAATTTTTAGTATTTACCAAGGTTACGTTATCACTTCTGATCAAAGAACCATCCTGTTTCATAATTTTCAGTTTTGGGCAGATATAACCACTGGAATATAAAATCATATCATTTACATCTTTAATATTAAATTCATATTTCGCTGATTCCTTTTCATCAACGGTAACTTTATCTTCTCTGAGCTGTTTGTACTGAAAACTTTCGATTTCATTGTTGAAATAATTAGGAAGAGTTAAATCCCAAATCTTTTTCATATATTAGTATAAAAATTTCTTGAATCCTGTTCCATATAAATCTATGTTTATTATATATTTATAATTTATTTTGTATACTAGTACTTTCTATGTATTAACAGGACTTATTTTACTGGGAAATTATGGATGCAGATATTTAGTCTTACAGTTCAAAAATAATGTTCTTTATTTAGTTCAGGTGAACTAAATATTATATAATTTACTAATGTTTACTAATAATTTACTATAATTATATAATATATATATAATTTACAAAATAAATTATAAATATATAAAAAAAATGACAAAAAGGCATAATAATTATGTTTATTATAATTCATTTATTTTGTCTAAAATTAAACGATAAACAACTCTCTGTTTATTAAAATCAATTAAATTATCATCCTGATCGGTTATCCACATTCGAATTCTATAAATATAATGATTTCTATTAATGTCAGCAAATATGGGATTAATCTCTTCAATTTTGATGAGATGAGACGGTGTAAAAGAATAAAGAATATCACTCGTGAAATCGTTGTACTCTACTCCAATGATTACATAGCAATGAATATAAATATCATCGATTCCTTTCGAAATATTTGCTATGTATTTTCCTTTCTGTTCTTCATCTTCATATATCTTTGGTTCAAAACCTAATATCTCGTAGAGTTTTCCTTTACTCAGATCAATTTTATATCCAGGTTATAAATGAATTATAAATCTCGTTGTTGCAAAATGAATTCCAAACTTTATAGGAAGTATTCCAAAGAATTTTACTAAAAAGTTATGTGGTTCTCGAAGAGTGTAATTTCCATTTTCTATCGTTACGTCATACCACTCTGTTTTATCAAAATATCTAAAGGTGTTGTTATTAAATTTTTCATGGATATTATGCCAAGAAACTCACATAGACATTGATTCCAGAGCTAATTTCGAATTATTTACGGTTAATAGATTTTTAAACTCGATTGTAAAGGCTTCTGATTTATCAGCATTTTTCGAATCTAAAACTATTAGTTTCATTTATATAAAACAAAATTCTCATTAAACTCGCTCGGTTCTTGCGTAAATGAGTATAAGACTTCAATGGGCGATTTACCTTTATTTCTTTCTACTATGTATTTCATGCAATAGTAACCACGTCTAACAGGAGTATGATTCTGAAGAAAACTAGAGTTATATCTTACAGTCGACCCTCCTATAATTACGGTCCCTATAATTACGATTTCTATAAAACTACGAAAAAATATACGTATTTTGGAAATGTTGAGTCGGATTAGTGTAGAATCGATTAATTTTATGGAAGAAAACCTTTCAATCAGCCGTAGTCCGTAAACTTGACACGTGTCGGGCTGTGATTGGAACGACTTGTAAGAAATCGGATTCCTAATAAATCGGAACGTATCTATATATTATAGGGGGGTCGACTGTATTTCTTTTTTAGATGTTTTTAAATATTTTATGATTTCTTTTGGAATTATCTCTCTTTTCAATCTTACATTTTTTAACTTATATTCTCCAAAAAATCGAAGAATTCAACGAAGGGATATTTAGAATCATTATAATAACAAACCCAGTGTGTGCCACCTTGTTTTTATTTTATTACATACGGATCTGGTTACTTTATCTATAGCTTTTTTGGCTCCCCATCCTGAAGCACCCGATAAAGCTCCCGTAGCCAAAGCGGTTAGAATAGCCTCCCCTATTTCATATATCATTCATTTGTTCGAAACATTGCTAAGAATGAACTATTACTTACAAATATCAACTACAGAAGGCCGGATAGCCGACCGGTTAAAATGGCATCCTTGCCACTCTGTGAATCCGTAATTAAATCCAAACGAGTCGAAGGGAATATATTCGGGAAATATTCGGGAGGTCCATCCGGAAATATCGGGCCACGCCCCTCCCCATTCGACCCCCGTTCTGGGTCTAGCTAACCCATAATAGACTTGCTAAAAGATCTTATTGAACACAGATAGAAACAGTAGAAAAATATCGGCTGTACATCAGAAGTAGTCTGTGAATTTTAATCTTGACTTATGAAAGTTATATTAAAAGTTCGATTTATTTTTGCACTTTAATTATAGACCTAGAACACTTTCGAGTGCAAGTGTCACCCTTTACAAAACCAAGTAATGAGCACGCAGAACAAAATTCTCTTAAGTACATACTATGTAACAAAGTTTTCTATACTTTTACAATGTATCAAAAATTACAGGATGCATTGTCTAGGAAGAACAATTCTTCGAGAGATGTTGCACGATAATTTGCATCAGTTCGTCCGGTTTGTCCATATGAATCCAATGACTGCATTCTTTCATATGAACGACTTGCAGTTTTGGAAACATTTTCTTCATATCTTCGATGTCCGTTTCCCTGGAAATAATGTTACAATCAAGTAACTTGTTACAAAAAAAAACAGTAGAAGCCAACACATATTGGAATTACTTACAAAACGTAATCGGAAGATCCGTATATCAACAGGGTGTCGTTTCCATAAAATCCTCTCAGAGGGTATCTCTTCCTGAGGGACTTCTTCTTGCATATTTCTGTTTCTATAATATCGATATTTGCTTTCCATTTCAATTGGTTGTCAACTTGTATCAGATTCGACATGATGATTTTTCTTAAACTTGAAATCTAAAAATGAAGAAAATTACACATCTTTCTGTTATGGCGCGGCAACACTTGGGCGATCTTCCTAGGTAAATACCTTCCGAGAGGTCTTTTTAATGGAAACTGGCCCTTTTTTAGGCGTTACAGACGAGGAGAAAACTCGGAGAACTCCACGTGGTTAGCCCGTCCGACCGAACTCCCAGTGTTCAGGGTACGAAGACCACTTGGCCACTGGTGAGCATACACATCTTTCAACATATATTTTTACTTTCCCGGATGTTTTATATATAACAGAGGGAAAGTACGGAGAACGATCAAAAATGGCCCTCCAAGATTTTTGGGCTCAGGGAATCTTCAAACGTCCAGAGAGAAAAAAAAAATTGGAGATTTTTTATGTATGTATGGATGATAGTGTGTATGTGGGCACTATTTTCTTGAAGCTTAATAACTTCAGCCTCTTTTGTCAAAAATTCCTGAAATTTTGCAGGGAGGTTTGTTATTAGAGAATTAATGTTACTAAATTTTGGTATTAAAGGTCGAGGGAATGGGGCGATAGAGGAGGGATCGTGTGTCATACCTTGATTTCGGTCGAACTTAAATGAAGTTTTGCACCTTATTAGCATTTACATTTTTTTTATAAAACCCGTCCCTAATCTTAGAATTAAGATTTTTGCTATTTGATAATAATTAATTATATAAAAAGTTTTTTAAATAAAATATCGTAACAGACGATGACACACCAGTTTTAATGTTGTTTATGGGAAAGTTAAGTAACTCGTAGCTGAATTTTTTTCTAAATCAAATATTGTAATTGCATTGTATTAAATCTTGCATTGTCTTATTGTAATTGTGACAACCCGAACTTTAATGAAAATCTTTTTTCGATTTCATTAAACCTATTTTGACAACTAACGTTGTTGATTATCCTTTACGCCCTGAGAACTTCTTATTTTGCACGTTCTCGGCGGAGAAAGCGACGCTTTTCCGTGATCCTTTGACCTCCCGGCCGTGCGCTATAGCTTTAGTATCAGAACTGACGGCCGAATGGGGCAGTCACCGCCCATTTCTCCCCGATGCAACAAGTCGCCACACGTTCCTCCGATGGTTACAGTCATCACCCGGTCCTCAAGTAACATAAAACTCTATGCCTCTGAGTACGGATTACCATCATCTCTGAATACAAAATAACCTCGATCGCAACGGGAGTAAGCCACAGCATCTCGAATATTCCCGACGTGACGACCTCCTCCAGTGATAAATCAAATAACGGACAGTCCGACCCATCACCTTCACCTGTAGAAGATCTCACCAAGTCCCAGGTGTTTACGCCAACGCGCGATTTATTGTAAACTCTCTCTCTCTCGCGACCACTTACGTTATATAGATCCATTACTATAACCAACACAATACCACCTTGGCTATCCGGCAGGAAATTGTTATGCCTAACTATTAGAACATGGAAACACGATTTTTGTCGTCGTTGGGTCGTTTAGACATCGTTCCTCATCAAACATTAAACATGTTTGATGAGGAACGATGTCTAAAATTTCAGAATATCCGACTTGGAGTAGAGTTCATTCTGTGTATACCTGGAAGCGAAAACTATTATGATTTTCAACGTTTATCAACGTTTTGATGCTCCCTGAACCCAAAAATTAAAATACAAGGGGAAAATGTCATTGGCATGTATTTGTGTGTGTATGTTTGTTCTATTTCCTGACACAAATTATTTACGAACCATGAGGACAGTTCTATAACTCTTAGTTACATAACTAATACAGTAGAGCGTCGTTTATCCGAATCAATTGGGGACTGGGGTTGTTCGAATAACTTATTCTTCGGATAACCGATTATGTACAAAAAAATATATTAACCTATCCCGTGTTGAAATTTTTCTCCGTTGCGTGTCGCTTCGCGTTAAATTTTCGTCGATGTTAAGCCTAACGTAAACTTTTTAAAATAATAATCGCGGCTATTGTATCGTTAAAAATTACTTCTTTATTTTGTACAAACAAAAAAATATATTGAAAAATATAAAAACCAAAAAAATATATTTTAGAAGTTGATCTNACTAGCTGTTACCCGCGACTTCGTCAGCGGAGGTTTTGCAAGCAAACCCCATTTACATCCAATATTTCAATAACCATAGTAATTGTTATATAACACCTACCGCTGAAGAGAATTGCCGAAAATCAAACGAACTATTTTCAATTTGATCAATTTTCTGAAACGTTTACAATCGTTCTATAATCGAATCAATATGCAATAAATTCAAATTTAAAACAATTCGAACATTTTAAAAATCGAAATAGATAAAAATATTTATAACAATGTCGGAAATGTTATCAATTTAATACACTTAAGTACGCAATGAAGACTAAACGTAGTTGAAAACAAAAAATCGCATCTAAAATAGTACAGTAAAAGCCGTTCTTCCGGTTAAGCTTTAATGCTCTCCTTCAGTCCCCGCGGGGGAATTTCTAAAAATCCCTTTATAGTGTGCATTGCCATGGCGTACCCTACTAAAACGCAGAAAAAAACAAAAAATCGCATCTAAAATAGCACAGTAGAAGTCGTTCTTCCGGTTAAGCCTTAATGCTCTCCCCCACTTGGGAATGATGTCTTCTTAGTGTGCGTTTTCATGACGTACCCTAACTGTGTACCAAATTTCACCTCTTTAGGCCCAGCGGTTTGCTCTGGGCAATGATGAATCAGTGAGTCATTCAGTCAGTCAATCAGGACAAGCAATTATATATCTATATCTATATATATATATAAATCGACGTGTGTGTCCCTATATTTTACTTTTCCGCCAAAACTACACATCGCACATGAATGGTGTTTGTATGTGGTAGTAGCCCCGAGTCTCCATTCGTGCACTATGGTGGTTGCGTCTCGATAGCTATATGGGTGCGGGAGATATGGAACTGAAAGTAGTTGAAAGTGGTTTTCTATTTCGAATGTTTTGTTCGAATTTAAATTCGAACATAAAATTCGGATATTGGTTCGATTATAGAACGATTGTAAACGTTCCAGAAACGTTGAAAATAATTCGTTTGACTGGACGTGAACAGGAGACGTTCAGAAATAGAATCGGGACTATGTCTCTAATTAGTCTGGAAACGAGAGACCTAATTCTTGCATTCTGTGAAAACGGGTAAGATTGGCTATAATGTAATTATCTTAATCTTCACTATCGTTACTTTTTGCCCAGCGAAGCGGGTCCTTGCAGCTAGATTCTAGATTAC